TCCAGGACTTCTCCTGACCCCAATTGGCATAGCATAGCGTTCCCACAAGGCATAATTTGAACTATTATTGACAAGAAGTTAGGTAGTACGGGAAGAGTATTTAAACAAATAATGACAAGATAACAGAATAAATTCTAACATAAAGATATGACTACTATTTACTCTAAAACCTATCTGAGAAGGTGGGTGATTATACTTTCAAAGTCAGGGATGTCTTCATGGAGAACTAAGGTAACAAATTTATTCATCATTCACTATGTGTCAGGATCTATGCAAAGCCCTTTATAATTGATACTTAATTTTTTTAATTTATTTTTATTAGTTGGAGGCTAATTACTTTAGAATATTGTAATGGGTTTTGCCATACATTGACATGAATCAACCATGGATTTACATGTATTCCCCATCCCAATCCCCCCCTCCTACTTTCCTCCCCATCCCATCCCTCTGGATCTTCCCAGTGCACCAGCCATGAGAACTTGTCTCATGCATCCAACCTGGGCTGGCGATCTGTTTCACATTTGATAATATACTTGTTTCAATGCTATTATATCAGATTATCCCACTCACCTTCTCCCAGAGAGTCCAAAAGTCTGTTCTATACATCTGTGTCTCTTTATCTGTCCTGCATATAGGGTTATCGTTACCATCTTTTAAAATTCCATATATATGCATTAGTATACTGTATTACTGTATTGGTGTTTATCTTTCTGGCTTACTTCACTCTGTATAATGGGCTCCAGTTTCATCCATCTCATTAGAACTGATTCAAATGAATTCTTTTTAATGACTGAGTAATATTCCATGGTGTATATGTACCACAGCTTCCTTATCCATTCATCTGCTGATGGGCATCCAAGTTGCTTCCATGTCCTGGCTATTATAAACAGTGCTGCGATGAACATTGGGGTGCACGTGTCTCTTTCAGATCTGGTTTCCTCGGTGTGTGTGCCCAGCAGTGGGATTGCTGGGTCATATGGCAGTTCTATTTCCAGTTTTTTAAGGAATCTCCATACTGTTCTCCATAGTGGCTGTACTAGTTTGCATTCCCACCAACAGTGTAAGAGGGTTCCCTTTTCTCCACACCCTCTCCAGCATTTATTGCTTGTAGACTTTTGGATAGCAGCCATTCTGACTGGCGTGTAATGGTATCTCATTGTGGTTTTGATTTTCATTTCTCTGATAATGAGTGATGTTCAGCATCTTTTCATGTGTTTGTTAGCCATCTATAATTAATACTTTAAATAACCTTATGATGCTGTGAAAGTGCTGCACTCAATATGCCAGGAAATTTGGAAAACTCAGCAGTGGCCACAGGACTGGAAAAGGTCCGTTTTCATCCCAATCCCTAAGAAAGGCAATCACAAAGAATGCTCAAACTACCCCACAATTGTACTCATCTCACATGCTAGTAAAGTAGTGCTCAAAATTCTCCAAGCCAGGCTTCAGCAATACATGAACCGTGAACTTCCAGATGTTCAAGCTGATTTTAGAAAAAGCAGAGGAACCAGAGATCAAATTGCCAATATCCGCTGGATCATTGAAAAAGCAAGAGAGTTCCAGATAAACATCTATTTCTGCTTTATTGACTACATCAAAGCCTGCGACTGTGTGCATCACAATAAAATGTGGAAAATTCTGAAAGAGATGGGAATACCAGACCACCTGACCTGCCTCTTGAGAAACCTGTATGCAGATCAGGAAGCAACAGTTAGAACTGGACATGGAACAGCAGATTGGTTCCAAATAGGAAAAGGAGTACATCAGGGCTGTATATTGTCACCCTGCTTATTTAATTTATATGCAGAGTACATCATGAGAAATGCTGGGCTGGAGGAAGCACAAGCTGGAATCAAGATTGCCAGGAGAAATATCAATGACCTCAGATATGCAGATGACACCACCCTTATGGCGGAAAGTGAAGATGAACTAAAAAGCCTCTTGACAAAAGTGAAAGAGGAGAGTGAAAAAGTTGGCTTAAAGCTTAACATTCAGAAAACTAAGATCATGGCATCTGGTCCCATCACCTCATGGGAAATAGATGGGGAGACAGTGTAAACAATGTCAGACTTCATTTTTGGGGGCTCCAAAATCACTGCAGATGGTGACTGCAGCCATGAAATTAAAAGACGCTTACTCCTTGAAAGGAAAGTTATGACTAACCTAGATAGCATATTAAAAAGCAGAGACATTACTTTGCTAACAAAGGTCCGTCTGGTCAAGGATATGGTTTTTCCAGTGGTCATGTATGGATGTGAGAGCTGGACTGTGAAGAAAGCTGAGCGCTGAAGAATTGATGCTTTTGAACTGTGGTGTTGGAGAAGACTCCTGAGAGTCCCTTGGACTGCAAGGAGATCCAACCAGTCCATCCTAAAGGAGATCAGTCCTGGGTGTTCATTGGAAGGACTGATGCTGAAGCTGAAACTACAATTCTTTGGCCACCTCATGCAAAGACTTGACTCATTTGAAAAGACCCTGATGCTGGGAGGGATTGGGGGCAGGAGAAGGGGACGACAGAGGATGAGATAGCTGGATGGCATCACTGACTCGATGGGCATGGGTTTGTGTAGATTCCGGGAGTTGGTGATGGACAGGGAAGCCTGGCATGCTGCGATTCATGGGGTTGCAGAGTCGGACACGACTGAGCGACTGAACTGACTGATGTTGCAGACAGTTCTGCTGGCTCCATTTTAAAATGAGAGCACTGACTAAAGCTTAGCGAATTCCCACAGATGCTAAGTGGCATAAGCCCGGGTCATGCTTTTGAACACTGCACTAAGCTTTTTTTCTGGAAGACTTGACGGTGACCTGGTTTTTGATAAGGTGCTTTTTATCAATTATAGAAGGAGAAAGAGTACTGTGGGCAAAAAGGAAAGGAGATGCAAAGTCAAAGAGATATGAAAAGACAACCATGCTTTAGGATAGTAAGAAATTCAAAATGAACTGGGAGCCATTTAAAGGGTATCTTAGTTTGTTTGGGCTGCAATACCAAAATATTACAAGACCTATAAAGAACGGAAATTTATTTCTCACAGTTCTGAAGACTGAGAAGTCCAAGTTCAAGGCACCAGAAGATTCCTTGTTTAGTGGGTCCATCCCAGGTGGCACTAGTGGTAAAGAACCTACCGATGCAGGAGACATAAGAGACACAGGTTCGATCCCTGGGTCAGAAAGATCCCCTGGAGGAGGGCATGGCAACTCATTCCAGTATTCTTGCCTGAAGAATCCCACGGACAGAAAAGCCTGGCGGACTACAGCCCATAGGGTCGCAAAGAGTCAAACACGACTGAAGTGACTTACCCCAGCACAGACATCTTCCTGGTTCGTAGAAGGCTGACTTCCGGCTATTTCGTCACATGGTAGAAGAGCCAAGGCAGCCCTCTGGGGTTTCTTGTGTGGGCTCTAACCCCATTCATGAGGGCTCTACCCTGACAGTTTAATCATCTCTCAGAAACCTCACTTAACACTGTCACACTGGAGAATAAGCTTAAACATGTGAGTTTGGGGCAAACACCAATGCTCAGTCTATAGCAAAGGATGAATAAGAGTGAAGAACAGGCAAGAGAATTTAGACTGTACAACCAATTGGTGGGTTTTATAACAGGAGGTCATGAAACTCTGAAAATGAATTATGGCCTGGATACCAGCAAAGGGGCCTAGAATTGGTGCTGCTTCATTGATGTTGCCTTACCCTTCTCTCTGAATCTAAATGCCAGATACCCTATTTGCATCTACATGACTTTGGATCAATCTCTCAATCTCACTATCCTGTTTCTCTAGGTATAATATGAGGAAGATAATAGCTACCACCTACCTTGTCAGATTGTTTAAAATATTCAGTGAAATAATGTGAGTATAGTACTCAACATCCACATTTAACTGAGTAAGAGTTCAACCGTAAGCTCTTGTCCAGAGATAGAAATATAAAGAAAGGAAGAGAAGGGAATAACAGTTCAACATTATGTGAAAATCCACTTTCAATAACTGGTATCTATTCCTAGGTGAGAAAGGAGGTGCGAATCTGCTGTTCTCCTATTTAGCCCTAGTTCCCCCTCTGCCTCTCAGACTGTAAGCATCTCACAGACCAGAAATCTTTTGTGTTTAAAGCTATGGCTTAGCACAGTGAATGAGACAGTTTGCATTCCGTGAGGGTTCACTAAATGCTTGTTCATATCCTTAGTGTGATTCTTCTCCACTCTCATCTTCCCAGATGTCTTCAACCTCTGTCACTGGTTTATTTGTCAAACTTTCTCTCTTTGAAGAAATAGCTGTCCTATGTTGGGGACTTGGCCCACCTTGGTCTGCAAAGAAGTTGCTGATTTGCCATAAGTGATTTTTTTCAGGATTATCTAGAATAATAATAATAATAGCCAATTTTAGAATTGGCTATTCAAGCCAGAATCTGTTCCTGAGTTCTTGCCTAATTCCCACAAACATTTCACCTAGAACCGATGTCCATCTATTGCCCTACCAGCTCCAGAAGGAAAGAGAATAAAGAAGAGCACATTACTCTCAACTCCTCCTACCCTTTATTTAAGCCCCATCTCATGTCCCAACCTGGGACTAATCTTTTCCCACAACCCTGCCAGGGACAATATCCTTTCCCATCCTGGGAAAATCCACCTCTACCCACAAGGTATGATCTGGTCCCAGGCTCCTGGCCATCATCATGATCTGACAGCTCATTCCTAAAATGCTTGTTTATTTAGAGTTAGTCAGCCCTGTATACAAGACACCAGTGGGCCTGCCAAATAGTGCTGTGCTGGTCCAAGCTGATCTCTACTCCTGTTCCCAGCCCATCCTCCTATGCTGGGTGAGGACAATATTAAGCCACCTTTATGTGTGTTCTGTCTTCCACTTTCCATCTCCTGGGAGCAAATGCTTAGGCAAGAAAACAAAAATGCTAACATTTTCCTGAAACAAAAAATAATGTTTAGAGTTCTCTGAGCTCGCAATACCTTTCTCTTTCCCTGGGAGGATTCTTGGCTTTTTTTCCCAGCATGGCCCCCAAACGCCAGTCTTCACTTACACCCCAAGCAAAGAAACTGAAGAAAGCGAGGCTGACTCCTGCCTCCAGGACAGGCAAGGCCTTTGCTTCTTCAAACTTGCCAAAGGAAGAAAAAGAACAGCAAGAAGCAATTGTATATATTGATGAAGTACAAAATGAAATAGACAGACTTAATGAACAAGCCAGTGAGATTTTGAAAGTAGGATAGAAATATAACAAACTCTGCCAACCATTTTTTCAGAAGAGGTTGGAATTGATTGTCAAAACCCCAGATTTGGGGGTAACAACAATTTTTAACCATCCACAAGTGTCTGCATTGCTTGAGGAGGGGGATGAATAGGTGCTGAATTATTTGACAAGAGTTGAAGTGATAGAATTTGATAGATAGACAGATAGATATTAGATCAGGTTACAGAAGAGATTTTTATTTTGATGAAAACCCTTACTTCGAAAATAAAATTCTCTTCAAAGAATTTCATCTGAATGAGAGTGGTGAACCATCTTCAAAGTCCACTGAAATCAGATGGAAATCTGGAAAGGATTTGATGAAGCGATCAAGTCAAACACAGAATAAAGTGAGCAGGAATAGACAGCATGAGGAACCAGAAAGCTTCTTCACCTGGTTTACTGATTATTCTGATGCAGGTGCAGATGAGTTAGGAGAGGTCATCAGAGATGATATTTGGCCAAATCCACTACAATACTACTTGGTTCCTGACATGGATGATGAGGAAGTGGAAAGAGAAGATGGCAACGATGATGAAGAGGAAGAAGGTTTGGAAGATATTGATGAAGAAGGGGATAAGGATGAAGGTGAAGAAGATAAGATGATGATGAGGGGGTGGAAAGAGAGGAAGAAGAAGGAGAAGATGACTAATGGAACAGTGATGGATTCTAACCTTTTTAAATTTTCTCCAGTCCCTGGAAGCAAGTTACAGTCTTTTTCTTTTCTCCTCTTGTGCTCAGTCACCCTGTTTTTGAGGTCTCTTTTCTCCTTTATACCATGGTTCACAACTTATTTGGGGGGGAAATACCTTGAGCAGAATTCAGTGGGAAAAGAATCTCTACCCCTTTCAGTTCCAAATCCATTCTCTCTTTTTTTTAATCCCTTCCTGTTTCAACAAAACCTTTATGGAATCAACACCACCATGCTCTGTGGGAAAAAAAGAAAAACCTTCTGCTCTCTTAGCTCTGCTGGAAGCTGGAGGGTGCTAGGCCCCTGTGTAGTAGTGCATAGAATTCTAGATACTTTCCTCCTTTCTCTGTATATTGGGGTCAGAGATTACACTGTGTCTCTATGTGAATATGGACAGTTAGCATTTACCAACATGTATCTGTCTACTTTCTCTTGTTCAAAAAAAAGGAAAAAAAACTTAAAAAAAAATGAGGTTATAGAACATCAGCAAAGGGTAGGTTTGAGATGTTTGGGTGGGTTAAGTAGGCATTTTGACAACATGGCTTCTCCTTTGGCATGTTTAATTGTGATGTTTAATGGACATCCTTGCAATTTAAGATGACACTTTTAAAATAAAATTCTCTCCTAATGATGACTTGAGCCCTGCCACTTGCTGGGAGAATCAGCAGAACCTGTAGAGGACCTTATTTGCAATTGATATTCTCTATTGTAATTTTGTTCCTGTTTATTTTTAAATTTTCTTTTTGTTTCACTGGAAAGGAATGGTGATGCTCAGTTTTAAATGTTAAAAGTGTGCATGTTGCTTTGTTATAATAAAACTAAATGTGTACACAAAGGAAAAAAAATAATGTTTGACATAAGGAAGTTTAAACCAAAATTTAGAAAAAAGTACTTTGCATAATTTTCAGGAATATCAAACATATGTCCAATGTAAATTAATAAACAAATGGCTTAATACTGCCATCAGCAGCTTCTACATTTGGGTAATACCACTGTCAACTGGGTCTTTGCCAAGAATAATGATGTGTGTTTGTCTAAGTCAATAAAAGTAAAAAAACTGACCAAAGTCCTCTCTCCCAGGAAAAAGAGGCCTATGACCTAAAGACAAAAGCAAGTCTTCATGCTAAAAGTTAATATTTCCAAATACACTGCTTAGTACAGATGTCAGTTTTTTTAAACATTGTAACTATTATTTGTTATCACCTCACTGCATGCCATCCTTCCAGCATATGCACCAAGCACAAAAGCATGTTTCTTCTCTTTTTATTTTCAGAGTCAAATGAAATAAAAATATGTCATCACCATTCCTAATTCATTTAAGAGTTTAATCCTATGAGATGCTTTGAATATGTAATACGTTGCATAAAAGTTCAGATTACAAGCTCAAAAGTGGGTAAAAGCCAGTTCACATTGCCAAGTATCCCTACTGGAAAGTTAGCAGTCTAGTGGAATGGATCAGTTCACCCTCAATACCCATTGAAATGTACAAGGATTTTTAGTGCAGAGAATTTTGTGGATATTTGTATGGCAGAGAAAGACAATAAAAGAAAGCTAATCCAGCCCCTTTTCATGAGATTTAAACAGCAAAGTTTCAACTAAAATCATGATCTTATTCCAGTGACCTTTTTATTTAGTCTACACAGCTCACATTTTATAACATTTGAAAGACTTGAGACAAGTGCTATGCACATTTAATTTTTTGTTGGAAGACTAGAATCTCTGAATATTAGAGCTGACAACACACACACACAAACTACCATATCTTCCCCACCATGTTCACTTTATGGTCTGGCAATGGCTAGGAATACATGTTGGTGCTGGGGGAAATAAATGAATTTGAAGCACAGGGTTGCCAAACACAAGTCAAGCACCTCAGCTTACTGGCTTGGTAATGCTGGTTGAATTACTTCTCCTCTCTGGGTTTCATTTTATTGGCCATAAGATAGAGATGATAATAAACAGTTACCTCATGGAAATAGAGGGCTTCCCAGGTGGCCCTAGTGGTAAAGAACCCACCTGCCAATGAAGGATACATAAGAGATGTGGGTTCAATAACCAGATCAGGAAGATGCCCTGGAGGAGGGCATGGCAACCCATTCCAATATTCTTGCCTGGAGAATCCCATGGACAGATGAGCCTGGTGGGCTACAGTCCATGGGGTCACAGAGACGTGACTGAAGCAGCAGCAGCATGGAAATATAGTGAAGCCTGAGTAAAATACTGTATATATGGGCTGTTGTTGTTGTCCAATCACAGTCATGTCTGACTCTTTGCGACTCCATGGACTGCCGCACACCAGGCTTCCCTGTCCTTCACCATCTTCCAGAGCTTGCTCAAACTCAGGTCCATTGAGTCAGTGATGCCATCCAACCATCTTGTCCTCTGTCATCCCCTTCTCCTCCTGTCTTCAATCTTCCCCAGCATCAGGGTCTTTTCTAATGAGTTGGCTCTTCACATCAGGTGGCCAAAGTATTGGAGCTTCAGCATCCATTCTTCCAATGAATATTCAGAGTTGATTTCTTTTCACATTGACTGATTTGACCTCCTTGCCATCCAAGGGATTCTCAAGAGTCTTCTCCAACACCACAGTTCAAAAGCATCAATTCTTTCGTAGTCAGCCTTCTTACAGTTCAATTCTCATATCCATACATGACTCCTGGAAAAACCATAGCTTTGATTATATGGACTTTTGCTGGCAAAGTAATGTCTCTGCTTTTTAATAAGCTGTCTAGGTTTGTCATAGCTTTTCTTTCAAGGAGCAAATGTCATGGAGCAAATGTCATGGCTGTAGTCACCATCTGCAGTGATTTTGGAGCCTAAGAAAATACACTGTTTCCATTGTTTCCTCATTTATTTGACATGAAGTGATGGAATCAGATGCCATGATATTAGTTTTTCTTTTTAATGTTGAGCTTTAAGCCAGCTCTCTCCCCCACATAGCTCAGTCAGTAAAGAATCTATCTACCTGCAGTGCGGGAGACCGGGGTTCAATTCCTGGGTCAGGAAGATCCCCTGGAGAAGGAAATAGCAACCCATTCCAGTATTCTTGCCTAGAGAATCCCATGGACAGAGGAGCCTGGAAGGCTACAGTCCATGGGGTCACAAGAGTCAGACAAGACTTAGTGCTTAATATACTTTAAGATGCTACATAAACATTACATGGAGTTACACTGATATGCTATGTGAGTATATGATTTGAAAGCCCAGAACCTCAAAGTCCTCGTTTTACCACCTGACCTTTGTAAGTGTTATAGTCCTTATCTACAAGGTAGGACACAGACAGCACTTCCCTCACAAGGTTTCTGTGATCACCCATGAAATATGTGTAAAGCACTTAGAGTGCCCAGCACCTACACAGACGCCTCCAGTGAGTGTCAACTCTCACTAGACATTTGATGATAAAACTGATATTTCTTCAACAAGCATTTAAAGAGATCCAGCCACTTGCTAGGCACTCTATCTGTGCTGGAATGAAGGTGGGGAAACGGTACCTTCTGGCTCTGAGGGGACTCACCGAGGACTGGGAAATAGCTTACTTCATATGTCCATTGTCAAAGTGATCAGAGACTTCTCATTGCCCATAAAGTTCAAGTTCTTCTTTCTGCATTTAAAACACTCCACTGCATGACCTCACCCCATCACCCACTGAACCTTCTTATGTAATCTACCTTTCCAATCAAAATTCCCCATGTCAGTGTTGTTATTCATTGTATTAGTAATGATTCTCTGGAGAAACAGAACCAATAAGAAGAGATTTATTATAAAAATTGGCTCACATAATTATAGAGGCTGAGAAGTCCCACAATCAGCCATCTGCAAGTAGGCAACCAGGAGAGCTGGTGGTTAATTCAATCTGTTTAGAGTCCACGAAGCAGGAGCATCGGTTTGAGGACAGAAGTTTGAGGGCAGAAGAGGATGAAGATATCAGCAAATTCTCCCTTTCTTCACCTTTTTGTTCTATTTAGGATCTCAGTGGATATGATGGTGCTTGCCCACCTTGGTGACCGTGACCTTCTTTACTGACTCTACAGATTCAAATGATAACCCCTTCTAGAACCACCAGGATAGATCCACTCAGGAATAATGTTTTACCAAGTATCTGGGCATCACACTCATGCTGGATTCTCCACCTGGAATAGTACACCTCATTGTTTCTCTTTAGGGCAAAGCCTTACACTTCACAGCCACGCCAAGGTGCTCTCTACTGTAAACATCTAGTTTTCTGCTTCTTTTCATGTTCCTTTAAGGAACAACTTCTTCTCTACATTTCTTCTAGTGTAGCTGCAGACGTCACTCTTTGGACAAAAAAATGGATACAAGAGTACCTGGTTCACGTCTAAGAGGGCATGGCAACCCCCCCACACACACACTTTAGGGAGTAGTTTAGGGGTATGTATGTGACCCAATATAGGCTGAAGAGAATGACACCTGAGATTAGTGCGGGTATGTTCAGAAAGAAAATTTCGTTTTACCCTGGAGTGGTTAAGGTGGTTTTTAAACAAGATGATTGTGAGTCAAGAGCTACAAGATAACATCTTACCTATAAGAACACCCAACTCGGAGGAAAGCTGAGCTAAGAGATAGAGAGAAATAAATTCCTAACGGCACTGTTGACCACTTGTATAGACATCTCTTGACCTTCAGTTAGGGAAGCCAGTCCATGTATTATCATTACTACTACTACTTCTATGATTATTACTATTTAGTTACAATCAAGAATCTCCTGCAGACCAAGACCACAGTTTATTTATATTTGTTTCTCCTATGAAACAGTGGGATGAGTTTTGCCTACTGTAGGTCCTCAGTAAATGTTAGGTTAGATTAATTAATCTATAATTCATGGGAAAAAATTTAATGGATTCTAAATGGCATACAACCTCGCTAACATGTAACCTAGTTCATTAAAGCAGAGGAAATATGTCTGAGTCAAATGATTCATTTGTAAAGACTTTTCAGCTATT